AGATGCTGCAATAGGTTAACTAGATAGGAAAGTCATGTGTTGGACACATCAGATTTTTAACCTATGACGCCGGGGTTTTAGAAAACTGAAATTTTTAGAGAATGTAGTCGTGAGGTACCCGATTAACTCCCACTTAGTCAGAATGTGGCACAAAGCGCCGTTTCCTTGTAAAAAAATAATAATATTTTAGGGGTGCTTTTTAAACTATGACGCCGGGGTTTTAGAAAACTGAAATTTTTAGGGAATGTAGTCGTGAGGTACCCGATTAACTTCCACTTAGTCAGAATGTGGCACAAAGCGCCGTTTCCTTGTAAAAAAAATAATCTTTTAGGGGTGCTTTTTAATCTATGACCTCGGGGTTTCAGAAAACCGCTATTTTTAGAAAAACTAGTATCCAAGTAGCAGAATAAATCCCATATAACCAGAATATGGCACAACGCCTAATTTTCTCGTAAAAAAATAATACATATTTAGGGGTGCGTTTTAACCTATGACGCCGGGGTTTTATAAAACTCAAATTTTTATGGAATGTAGTTGTGAAGTACCTGATTAAATCCCACATAACCAGAATGTAGTACAACGCATCATTTTCTCATAAAAAAATAATTCTCTCGTCTACCTATAGTCCTCATAGGTCTTAAAAATCCGCACAGCCAGAAATTATGTGATACAAAAGGCTGTAATTACGTAAAATTATATAGATATATTTTTATGTTCAATTTATTTCATCTCATAGCATATTATTATAAATTTTTCTCGTTGTCTCCCTTATTAACGAGAAAAAAGAAATAAAATATCTAAATGAAAAATTGTATCTACTCAAAGTATTGATGAATTTAAGTTGTGTGAACTTCTCTTTGTGGAGGGGGCAAGCGCTGATATTGGGCGCCAGCGCCGGGCGCTAACTTCACACAAGTATCGATACCCAACTCCATTTAACATAAGGTTCGATTATTTTCTAGCGAATAGTGAGCTTCTCGGGATATCCCGAGTACGAAAGATGAGAATTACACTGCATTATCAAAGAGTCCACGTTAGAAAAAAATTCCGAAAGGTAATTTGCGGGTTACCTAATAAAAAAATGCCTATCTATACATTCTTGTACAATTTGCGAGGAATATTCAAAAGCCTATCAAAATTTGGACGATACATCTTTATTCTGTTACTTTAAAGCTTATAACAGCTCCAATTTAGATTTATTTGGTAACTTAAACATGCCACACAATGATTTTGTAAAATATATCTCCTTTTTAGAGGTAATATTTAAAATAAATTTTGAAACTATTATCAGACTATTATTATACACAAAAATCTGATGTGTCCAACACATGACTTTCCTATCTAGTTAACCTATTGCAGCATCTCTAAAAATGTTTAGAGTATAAACTAAATATATACATTTTCCACATACATCTACCTCGAAACATTTTTCTATAGATATTCATTGAAAACGAAAATATTGAAAAATTTAAATTTAGCACTTTTCCTCCAATTTTTCCATTACAGTCCATTTTAGAAAAGTCATTTAAAAACAAAAATTATAGAGATCGATATTGCAAACAACTTTTAGTTTAACAATTTTCTTAAAAATCAGAATTTTGCACATTTTGTCAAATTTCTCGAATACGGACCATTTCAGGAAAATTTGACATAAAACAAAAATTATAGATAATAATATTGTAAGTAACTTTTATTTGAAGAATTTTCTTCTCCAAACGTAAATAACGAATATATTCCATAAAATATAAAAATGACCACCAATAAAGTACCCCCCCCAAATGTTCCGACTCTGTCCAAAATCTAGTCAGTTCACCTCAGGTCGAAATAAAACTTAAGTTTAAAATTTAATGTTTTTTCCTTCATCTGTTTTTGAGTTTTCTTCAAAATTCGAAATTTACACATTTTCTCAAATATCTCGAATACGGTCCATTTTAGAGAAATTATGTATGGGTTAAAAATTATAGAGAATTATGTTACAAACAACTTTTATTTGAACAATTTTTATAAAAAATTATTTTTTTACATTTTGTCAAATTTCTCGAATACGGACCATTTTAGGAAAATTTTGCATAAAACAAAAATTATAGATAATTATATTAGAAGTAACTTTTATTTGAAAAATTTTCTTCTCCAAACGTAAATAACAGATATATTCCATAAAATATAAAAATGACCACCTATAAAGTACCCCCCCAGATGTTCCGACTCTGCCCAAAATCTAATCAGCTCATTGGACGCTGAAACAAAGCTTAAGTTTAAAATTTGGTGTTTTTCTGTGTATCGGTTCATGAGTTATGCGTTATACAGACACACACACACACACACACACACACACACACACACACACACACACACACACACACACACACACACACACACACACACACACACACACACACACACACACACACACACACACACACACACACACACACACACACACACACACACACACACACACACACACACACACACACACACACACACACACACACACACACACACACACACACACACACACACACACACACACACACACACACACACACACACACACACACACACACACACACACACACACACACACACACACACACACACACACACACACACACACACACACACACACACACACACACACACACACACACACACACACACACACACACACACACACACACACACACACACACACACACACACACACACACACACACACACACACACACACACACACACACACACACACACACACACACACACACACACACACACACACACACACACACACACACACACACACACACACACACACACACACACACACACACACACACACACACACACACACACACACACACACACACACACACACACACACACACACACACACACACACACACACACACACACACACACACACACACACACACACACACACACACACACACATCATCGCGAAAATAGTCAAAACGGATTCAAGGGACCTCAAAACGTAAAAATCCGTCGAAAACTCGAGGTCGAAAAAAATCATGATTCCTATACTTTCCTTATATCTGTATACAGATAGGAAAGTAAAAATGTAATAGATACGTTTTAAAGTATTTGTATAAATACAAGCTTTTCACATCCATGTGAAAAATTTCCACATAATTATTTAATAAAATTATAGATTATAAATGTATTAACCGAAATTATAAAACTATCATTTGGAAAGATAAGTAAATATTTTTTTGTGTATATAAATAATTTACTTACCTATATTTGTAATGAGTGAACTTAAAAAATAAATCAATAGCTACTTATTAATATTTTCCTGACCAGTGCGCCTATGGAATACAAGTAATAACTAAAAGACGAGGTCATATAGCTCGTCAACATCAACTATATACAAAGAAATTAAATGACTGTTATCTACATTTACGGATTTGTTAATACCCATCTCTAAGGCCTGTATGTATAAACAGAACTTACGTAAAGGCTGTATGTCACGATACTAAATTAAGTACTAAATTTAGCACTAAATTAAGTCATTAATTTAGTACTAAATTTAGAACTAAAAATATTTTTTTTCCGTCTGCAACGATACCAATTTTTAGTACTAAATTTACTATGGGCGCACGCGCATTGACGTATTAATACGTGAAATTATATAGTAGATAAATGAAATATTCTGTGTAAAACAGACAAGTGAAGTAAATGGTGTTTTTCTACACCCGTATTATAATAATGCACTTATATGCCCATAATCCGTTTCATAATGATACCCATTATGATACAGATTTTTCATTATGATACAGATTTTTAATCAATAGAAACCTACAATTTTTCAATCAAGCATGATGTTTGACGTTTGTCCTAAATTCCTATGTAATTGTTTTAGTTGTCAAAACGTATTAAATTTTCGTAGATAGCTAAACTTCGATAATTATAATATTAAAATGTCTGATATCAGCGATATAGAACACTCCTCCACACATATAGGAGAAAGGAGAAAATGCAGTACAAAATATTTTGCCCCAAAAATCTGTGGTAATACCAGTACCCAAGGTAATACCATTAATTACAATTTTGTAGAATTTTTTATAGAAATACGAGTAATTACTGTTATTGTGTTCAATACCAATATAAATAGAATATTTATAAGTCTTGATTATTTATCGGGTGTAGAAAAAATAGCGTATGCAACTCTCATGTAATGGTTATTAAAACACTCGCATAAACCATACGAAACTCGCCTTTGGCTCGTTTCGTATCCCGGTTAATGCTCGTGTATTAATAACCATCATTACATGATCGTTGCATAATATACTATTTTATTATCAATTTGATACTAGTTGACTTGACAACCAAATACAGCATAAAAACCACGGAAAAACACAAAAAAAACATACAAAATCAAGCAGGCGAACTTTATTCAAGGCGATAATGTGAAATTGTCGCTAATTAAAAATAAAAGGGTACAGAAAATACCGTCGTGTCAACTTTTTCTATGAAAAACTTCTGCGCAACATTTCGGCGCACTTTTAGTACTAAATTTAGTAGAAAATAGAACAAGATCTAATTATTTAATGACTTTTTTTAGTACTAAATTTAGTACTAAATTTGCTGTTTGCAACGTGAATTTTTTTAGTACTTAAAAAATGCATTAATTTAGTTCTAAATTTAGTACTTAATTCAGTATCGTGACATACAGCCTTAAGTCGGACTTGGGTAAGTCGTCCTTGAACTAAAATCAAAGTTCGGTTACAACGTCTCTAAAGTTCTGGGTGGTTCTGGTGTTAAACTGGAATTTAGAGATGGATATTAGCAAATCTGTAACTGTTATGTACATTTACGGATTTATTACTACCCATCTCTAAATTCACGTGATATAACCGAACTTCGATTTTCGTTCAAGGACGACTTACCCAAGTCCGACTCAGCTGAGTTTTGTTTATAAATGCGGGCCTGAGTTTTGTTTATAAATACGGGCCCTAGTGTGTTGCATACATTCGGGCATATACATAAGGCGAGTTCGGTCAGTCAGGGGCTGGAGCGGGACAAATTTTAGGGTGCTTTTAAATGACATTTAAGCGTGTTAAACTGTCACTAATCGGACTAAACCTAACGCTAAAAGGGTCGTTTGGAGTTAAAAGTGTTAAAGGAGTTAAAGGAACTTGGCAGACCGAACGCAATGATATTTCCGACAATATACTACATTTTCACAGGCCATCTACTTATAACTAAGGAAGAAGTAAGATATGAAATGAAGAAGAAAAAATGTCAATGTCAAGTGAAAATAAAAATGTCAACACGTAGAAAGTCAACAAATTGACACGTACTACAAATTTGTAGGTTGATATCTCAATTTTTAAACAAAAACTACCGTTCATAATAAAAAGGTAAATTATATTAGTTTAAATACTACCGAAAAATAAATCTACAATTCTTATTTCACCAGAATCGCGTTCTAATTAAAATGACTGCCGTTGAACAGTCTTGTTATACTTTAATTAATCTACCAACTGATTCGGAGCCCTACAATGAAATGCAGCTCAAAATGGACCTCGGTACGTAAATGAATAATAGATAATAATTCTTTGACATTAATGATTTATATTTTTTAGAAAAGGGCGAGGTTAAGGTAAAAATAAGAGCACTTGAAAGGATTATACACATGATATTAGCTGGAGAAAGATTACCAAACGGATTCTTAATGACTATTATAAGGAATGTCCTTCCCCTTCAGGATCATTTAGCTAAGAAATTACTTCTAATTTTTTGGGAAATTGTACCAAAAACTTCACCTGATGGCAAATTATTACAAGAAATGATTTTAGTGTGTGATGCCTACAGAAAAGATCTGCAACACCCAAACGAATTTCTTCGAGGTTCTACTTTAAGATTCTTATGTAAATTAAAAGAACCAGAACTGCTAGAACCTCTAATGGCTAGTATCAGAGCCTGTTTGGATCACAGGCACAGTTATGTGCGAAGAAATGCAGTTTTGGCTATTTTTACAATTTATAGAAATTTTGAGTTCTTAATTCCTGATGCACCCGAACTTATTTCTACTTATTTAGATGGTGAGCAGGATATGTCTTGCAAGAGAAATGCTTTTCTGATGCTTTTACATGCTGATCAAGATAGAGCACTGTCTTATTTGGCAAATTGTCTAGGTAAGTCACATTTTAAAACAATTCTGTAGGTAAACTGCTTTGGGAAGTGCTACCAAAATGGATATTGTTATAAATAAAACTAAAAGTTGTACTATTTTTTGTTTAGAAAGATATTTCACATTTCTAGTTGTGCTTCCAAATTGTTTTAAGACTTCGATACATTGCATAGGGGGAGGTGGGGTAAATGTAGACAAATTTCTACACTTACTCCATGGGTAAAATGTTTAAAATTGCTACAGTACCATCTAAAGTATTAAGATCTTGTATTGTTAAGTACTAGATACCTAATACCTTGTGTTACTTTCTGTATATAAATGGTTAACCTAAACCAACCTCTTGGAAATATGTGCAATTTTATTTTAAATTCGTTTTTGTCTATGCTTACCCCGGCGAATGGGGTAAATGGAGACAACACGGATTACTGCTTATACTATAACGTTAATTTAACTGGGATAAGTGGAGACAAAGTATGAACCATAACTAATATGCAGGTAAATTTAAAAAAAATATATTTTTTTTCATTTAAAAGATACAGAACTTTTAAGGTAGGGTGTACATGAATCAAAAGCAAGGAACATAAACTAAAAGTATATTTTTAACTTAAAACAACACATAAAATAAACTAAAACTGACACTTTGTCAACAATATTACCTACCTAATATTAAAAATAAATAAAAAAATTGGTATTCTTTGGTAAGTAAAGCTACTTAGAAAAAACATATTATTCTAATTATCAATACAAAACATTTTGTAAAAAGGGGTAGATAAAAAAGTTAAATTAAACATTAGCATAATGTTTTGCCCGTATTATGCTGAAAATCTAACCATCGTTTTTGAATATCTGTTGGTTTGGGATTTAGTGTAAATGAATGAACACCATCAAGCTTGATAGGTCCCATAAAACATGCGGACTGTGAAACTGTGTCATTGTCATCCCTTTTTGGCCATCTGAATTTCTCCTCTGGAATACGTTCTAAAAACTTCATGGTTACTTTGTCATTTTCGATGACATTGACACGACCAATGTACCATTTAGAGACGTAATCAACAGCAAAATAACTACCAATTTTTAAGTCTGTCCGTTTACTTTCTGGAGAGTTTGCATTCCTATTTTCTTTGTTGGCACAACAGGGTTCATCATCAATATTGTCATCATAGGGATCCCCAGTTAAGCTGTTATCATCACTTGATGTGGGATTCTGTACTGCTAGTAAAAGATCGTCATCTGGGTCGGACTCAGATGAAAATTCTTCAATACTAATTTTTTTCTTTGCTGTTTGCTTTTGGGCAAATTTTGATTTATTTTCTGCATTCTTAACTATTTCTGTTGTTTTCGTAGGATTTGTTTTTGTACTTTTTTTTGCGTTTCTTCTATCCTCTTCTTCTTTCAACCTTTTTATCACCTCTTTACTAGTTAGTATTTCGCCGTAAGCTTCTTTTTTTTACTCTTATTTGCTTTTCTTTAGATCGTATATTGTCCGGAGGGGCAAATTCCTTTCTCATTTTATTCAAAAAGACGTCCATAAGGGATCTTCGGCCGTCAGATGTCGTTGGTTCATTAATATCGATTTCTTGGGGAGTCATAAGGGATCTTCGACCATCGGATGTTGTTGGTTTATTATTATCTAATTCTTGGGGAGCCAGACTTTCTGATTGTAAAGGATCACTTTGAGAAATCGAAGGCTGTAGTGAAACCACATTTATAAGTTCTCCATGCTTTTGCCAACAGTTCAATAAAGATTTTTCGTTTTAGAGTGTTAAAACTAGCAAGTAAATTTTTGCGACCATATGCAACTAAAATTTTTTCCCAGCCAGTCTTTAAAGGTCCAAAGACGCACTTGTCTAATGGTTGCATGCGGTCAGTAAGGTGGCTGGGTAGTTTCAGTAATATTAAGTCTGCGTTAATCGCCGCATTTACCACTCTAAGACTTATGTGACTTTTGTGGCCATCCATAATAAGTATTGCTTTCTTTTGAGTGTTTTGTATTTGTCACAGGTGATTAATGTATGGTATTAGACTATCAGGCAGCCACGAGAAAAATACTGGCTCCTCCATATATCCGTTTTCTGTTGTAGCATAAACAGTGCCTGGAAACTCGGCTTCATGGTTTGTCCACCTTGCCTGTACGGCACCTTTTGCTTTAAAAATAACTAGTGATGGTAACACTCTACCTAAAGCTGATGCGTAGCAGTGGACAGAAATGTTTTCCCTTCCTGTACCACCCACTCTCCTATAAAATGACTTTTGTCCTTTGAGTCCAATTGCCTTTACTTTGCTAGGGTCAGTACAGAACCCTGTTTCATCACAGTTTAGGATCAATTCAGGGGAGTTTTGAAGACCTTCTCGTTGAATAAGTGATTTTAATTTTTCGTAAAAATCAAAAACTACAAATGGGTCTGCGGCTTCAGCTCTTTTTTGCTGTAGTTGTTCCGGTTTGAGGCTTAGCCGAGGCCTTCTCTTCATAAAGGCAAGGTACCAGTCTTCGCCGGGGCGATTATCTTTAAAGTTGGTTTTATTGTTATTAGTTTCAACATACTCCTTTACAATATCAAGTAATTCATTCCGATCTACAGGATATCCCCACTCTGCTCGGGCTAAAACACACTGTTCCAACTGATCCTCTATTTGGTCCGAAAGGGCTCTTGGCCTACCACCACTGATTTTGTTCATAGAGGTTCTTCTTCCATGCAGTCTTTGGTATATCACGGATTTATCTATGCCATAATGATCTTGAGCTTGTCGGTATGTCATGCGCCTTGATTGAACAGCTTCACAAGCTTCTTGAAGCTCTTCCGTAGAATAGGTGGCTGCTGCCCTTTTACGTATGTAGGTGCGCGGCATGTTCAAAATAACTTCATAAATTATTCTGAAACAAGGAAAACAATATGTCTACATTTACCCCAACATACACAACTTGTCTACAATTACCCCAACCAGCTGTCTACAATTACCCTACTAATGTGTGATAGTGGGGTATATGTAGACAGCTTGATTTCTCTGAAAGAAAAAAATATTTTATTATGTAAAAAAATATGGATGAATATGGCGTCAAAAAAACACACATTTTAGGATAAAAACAAACTGGTTTTAATAATACTCTTTTTAAACAAAAATATCAAATAAAATAAATGCGAGAAACGTATAACAGATTTTTTTCTATGGTCATCATACCTTATTACAATTATGTTATTAAACAAGCTAGAGTAGTATAACTTAAAACTACATCAGTTTACACTTACAAATATTACATTCTGGAATTAAAATTAAAAAAACAAAATATATTTTCAAAGATTTGGGGGTGTCTACATTTACCCCCGCCTACACTTACCCCACCTGCCCCTATATTTTAAATGATTTATAAATAAGTACTTACATAATAATATTAAAAACAAAACATATTTTATTGCTGTCTAAAAATAAGATTGTACAAGCGGAGGTGCAAGCAATATAAGTAGGTACCGAGGTAGGTACCTACCTAATAGAGAAGAAACAAAGGTAACCAAAATATACCAGACAAAATATGGCTAATATTTCTTTAGCATATTATTATTATAAAGAGTGATGGAGAGGCCAATCGTGATTCGAAATCTTGTACACCAATTCCAACCAAAATTCTAATAATTCCAATAATTCTTGTTCCAATTATACTTTTAATTTTTTGCTCTAGAGGGGCTTTATTTGAAATAGAAATTATTATGTTAAGCAGCTTTTAAAAATAAATGACTGTAAAGCCAAAAATTACTTATATTTGTTGACTAAAAACAATTGTATGTAACAAAAGTTAAGTTTTGAGGAAAAGATAAAAAATTGTTTGCATCTGAAACTTTTAAAATATTCTTTATACTATGCCCCTTTTATTGATTAATGAAATAAACTCTTTTATCGTTTTAATGACTTTTAATTTGTAAAAAGTGCATATGTTATTATGTAATAAAATTGTTATGTGTAACATCTTAAACCACTAGAACTTACTCCAAAGTACGGTGTGAACATACGGGTTGAATTAAAGCCTTTGTTGGGGCCTTTGTCAACTCATAGTTTCTTAAGCTTGGAGCTCAAATAACGCATTAACTATTTTTTCAAAAAATAACTCAAGATAACCTTTTTATCAATTTTTAGGTGCTAAATTCACACTTTTTAAATAAAAGCTCCTGGATTTGGTTTAAAGGTCTGCCCTTTTTTCTCGATGATTTGAAATTGTTTACACTTTAACAAAAATAAATTCATTTGAAAAAAATATTTTTAAGTTTAGTTTTTACATTTGCAACAGTTAAAATACTTATTTATTTTTAAAACTTTGTACTTTTTAACAATAACTTAAAAAGTCACTTTGACTTATTTGAAATGGATCAATTCCTAACAATTTTATAAGGCCATAGAAAATGTATTTTTTTTTAACAGTATTGTTATAATCAGATCGAGGCTATATGAATTTGTCCAATTCCTGTTTTAAAAATTCGATATTTGGCCATTTGCCTTTACTATGAAGACTAGAAATAAGGATGCGAATTGACATACTCAAAATATGGTCCCAAAAAATGCACACTAATTGAACTGTTATAGTTAACCGCATGGGCGCTGGTACTGCTAACGGTGTTCAAAATACATGGCTTCTTATGGGAATTATACTTAATTTTTTCAAAATAATAAAAATAAACTTGTTTATAGCTAAATAAAGCACAGAACATGCTGTTGTATTTATTTCTAAATTAGTTTTGCATGTTTTAATTGATAAATTATTTAATTGTACCTAAGTATATAAAATACAAATGAGGTAGGTATGACCAAATTCGAAAAGGTTTGTTAATTTTTTTTTAATTGAACCTATATATCGTTTTAAGAACAAAATAAAGTATAAAGGGAGATTTGGGAATGAACATGGTATTACCTCATCCTTTAATTTCAGCTTTCCCCTTTTTGTTTTACTAACAGTACCATCAGTAAAAATAGTCTCATAATATTTTATAAAAAGTATAGAACAGCATCATCTCTAGAAAGTGCTTTATCGGCACTAAGAACGATAAATATGCTGCCACTGTTCTAAGCGCTTAGTATCCTATAAAAAACATTTACAATGACACATGGGGTTTATCTAAAAAATAACAGTAACAATTCTTTATCTTACATTAAAACTATAAAAAATAAATTTCTTTTCTAGTAAGTTAAATTTAATCTATAATTATTGTTGTTTGTTTTGTATCCTGTTTCACAATCTGGAATTTTGTCACTCATGTTACTTGTACTCAGGTACTTTTTTTCACATTATTTTGATTCTTTTCACCAATTTTTTAAAAAAATCACTTCATTTTTAACAGACTTCAAAAAAGGAGGAGGTTCTCAATTCGTAGCAATATTTTTTTTTCTTATGTATGTTCAGCGATAATTCTTTAACAGGATGTCCGATTTCAATGATTCTTTTTTTGTTAGAAAGGGGGTACTTCAGGGGTGGTCCCATATAAATTTGGTCAAAATCTAATAATTGGGTCCATGAGAAAATCCTCAAACTCTTCATTTTTTATGTATGTTTAGCGATAATACTTTACCACCTTGTCCGATTTATATGATTCTTTTTTTGTTAGAAAGGGGGTACCTCAGGAGTCGTCCCATATAAATTTAGTTAAGATGTGGTGATGGCATCTGCACGTTTTTGAAGTAGGTTTTTTTAAATTTTTAATTTCCAATACTTGTACATTGACTTACGAAAATTGACACTGCTGTTATTCGAGATGCCAACTACAGTCAATTTCGCGAACTTTATAAAAAGAAGGACGGAAATTTGAAATTTGACCATTGCCGATTCGCCTCTAGTCTTCAAAGCCTTTACATTAGTAGATATGTATGGATTAAAATAATTAATATTTTGTTATTTTCATGGTCTCTGTAGCTAAACAATCACACACTATTAAAAGTTTATTTAACCTGATACCTCATACTTAGGTGAATTAAGATTATAATTTAAATTCAAATAGTTTTATTGGCATAATATTTTCTATTTATGCTAAATACAGTAGACTTAAGATTGAATTAAAAAAATTCTTTTTTAGTCAGTGCTTACGTACTGAACTAATTACACTTTCCAAATTTTAAGATTCTAGCTATAACTGTTTGAGCTGGGCGTTGATAGATAAGTCGGTCAATATTTCGTACACTTCTTTTTATTAAATGGAGTAGCTGTTGTCAGCGGATTTGCAGGTGTGGAGTTGAGTTTTTAATATAAAAAAATGTCGCTTTTATCCAATTTACTCCTCATATTTTTCATGCTAGGCCGAGACATATTTATTTATTTTTATTTATTTATAGTTATTCATTTTTATTTATTTTTAATTTAGTTTTATTCTTATTATTTATTTTTAATTTAGTTTTATTCTTTTTTATTTATTTTTATGATAGTCCCATACAAACTCTCACCCCCATTTCCCTCTCATCCCCCCATTTCACCCAATTCCCCCCGCTCCCCTCACCACCTATTTCACTAAATTCCCCCTTCCTCCCCCATTTCACCATATGTCACCCCCCCCCCTCCCCCCTTAAAATGTGAAAATCCAAAAACCCTTAATCACGTAATTATTTATGGTGAGTAACTACAAATTCAAAAAAAAAATCAATAGGCCCATCAAACTTTCACCTCTCTAAGATTTATGAATCAGATAAACTTTGACAGAGCTATCTGAGTGACATGAGCTTCAAATTACTCACAGTCTAAACATCTGTCAAAATAAGTCAAGGGGCTTATATTTCAGTGAATTACTTAAATAGGACAAACATTCTGCAGTGATGTCACCACATATTAAAATAGACACAATTTTAAATGTTTTCCACATATCCAAACATCCATTAAATTTTATATGAAATAAAATGCCTCTTTTAGCATCATTTGAAAATCCCTTCTTAAACCATAATTTTTATTTAGATCAAGTTACATCATTTGGAGACATTCTGCAATTGGTCATTGTTGAATTAATCTATAAAGTTTGCCATTCAAATCCCACAGAGAGGTCAAGATTTATCCGCTGCATTTACAATCTATTAAATTCAAGCAGTCCTGCTGTCAGATATGAAGCTGCTGGTACACTTGTAACACTTTCAAGTGCTCCCACAGCAGTAAAAGCAGCTGCTAGTTGTTATATTGAACTAATTATCAAGGAAAGTGATAATAATGTAAAGTTGATTGTCTTGGACAGATTGATTGCCCTTAAGGAACATCCCAGCCATGAAAGGGTTTTGCAAGATTTGGTTATGGATATATTAAGAGTGTTGCAAGGTAAATATAAATAATATAAAACTTTTATTATTATTTTTATTATAATGTAATTGCATTTTAGCTCCTGACTTGGAAGTTCGCAAAAAGACTTTAAACCTAGCACTTGAACTGGTATCATCTCGTAATATAGAAGAAATGGTTTTGGTTCTTAAAAAGGAGGTATCAAAAACCGTAGATAGCGAGCACGAAGATACAGGAAAATACAGGCAGTTACTTGTTAGAACACTTCATTCTTGTTGTATAAAATTCCCAGATGTAGCTGTAACTGTCATTCCTGTTTTAATGGAATTTTTGTCTGATAGTAACGAGTTAGCTGCTACTGACGTGTTACTATTTTTGAGAGAGGCCATACAGAAGTTTGATAATCTGCAACCACTTATTATTGAGGTTAGTATCTTCTTACATATTTCTTTTATTAGTATACATAATCAATGTTTTTTTTTTGTAGAAACTTCTAGAAACATTCAAAGATATAAAATCTGTTAAAGTGCATAGAGCAGCTCTTTGGATATTGGGAGAATATGCCACTTCTGTCTCAGACATTGAAGCTGTTATTAAAGAAATTAATCAAACCTTAGGAGAAGCTCCTCTGTTGGAAACTGAACAAAAACTAATTTCTGGAGAGACAGACGACACAACTACAGTTCCAACAGGTGGAGCTACAACTTTGGTTACTTCAGATGGTACTTACGCCACTCAGTCTGCCTTTAATTCAGTCAGGTAAACTTTTTCGCATTCAATCAATTTTATATTGTTAATTTTGTTTCTTTTAGTAAATCTTCAAAAGAAAAACGACCTCCTCTGAGGCAATATCTTATGGATGGTGATTTTTTTATAGGAGCGTCCTTGACTTCTACTCTAACCAAATTAGCTTTAAGATATGGTCAAATTGCCTCAGCTGCTGATAGAAATAGGTTTGATGCTGAAGTCATGCTTATTATGGCAGGTATCATACATTTAGGCAAATCAGGTAAGTTTATTTTTATATCGTCATTTTTAGAATTTAAATTGGTTATATGTAGGTGGAAAATATTTTCATTGGTATTCCTTTTAATTGAAAATCAATATCTTCCGCAATATTTTGATTTTATCACAATTGGTAAGAGAGTTAAGTCTATAAGACTTAACGTTGTTCGGCGGTTTCCCTGGCCTAAGCAATATTATTACCTCTCCAACTTTCCAGCATGCAGGAACATATTTCATTATATAAATTGCATTAAACAAGTATATCAGCATGACAATACCTTTTCTAGACAACTACTTCAAGAATTCAGCAGTAAATAAATCGAAGCCTGATGCTTTCTTCTGATTAAGGTTAGTTTTAAAATCTTCTGCTACTTTTTTTGGTGTAACAAGGGTGATGTTTTCAGATTTTTGATTGTCTAATATAGGCAAATTATCTCGCAAATTATTTCTTCTGTCATCTGATTGGGTGTAAAAATGTTCAGCAAACAAGTATGCTTTATGTTTATGGGCCAGGGACCATACTCCGTGATTTCTTCTAATGGGAGAGATGAAGCTAATAGATCTTTTAATTTTTCTTGTGGTTTTCCAAAGAGGTGTCTTCATTGGATAAGAGGTTCTGTTAGTTATGAGTTTGTTGATTCTTCCTTGAGCTTTTGAATGTCTCTTCTTAGTTTATGAGTTTTATTATTTAAAATGGATTTATCAGGTGGATCTCTAGATTGTTGCCATCTTCTTGCTCTTCTTTTTCTCTAATAAGTTCTCTGATCTCAACTAGGTAGTTTATTCTCTTTGTCAAATGTCTTTGGTGTTATTATAAGCAGCTGTTTGAACAATTTTTGTAGTTTTCAGCTTCCTCATCAAGTTGTTCAGTTGTTTTCAAACATATATTCAGATCGATTTTGTTTTAAAATTCAATTCTGAAGCTTTCCCAGTCAGTAGTTTTATTGGTAAGAATAGGCCAGGTTGCTCTTTTAACCACTTAATGTACACATTTATTTTGAGTTTTTGGTCAAAAAAATGATCGGTTAAAGTGAAAATTTAGTGTTTATACTTAACAAAACGCTCGCATCTGAAACGAGCGTAAAAAAAATTGTGAATAAATATAATGGTCGTCCGTGTCCCAGTCGAGCGCGTACAAAATTTTGCTTATCAATGACACGGGCATATACGTTAAGTGGTTAATAACTGTTTCACCCAAGGTCAGAATTACTGCTGAATGATCAGAGTTTAAATCAAAATTTTCTTCAACTTTAATAAATTAGAAACATTCCTTTAAATAAAGAAATCTAGCAAGTCAGGGATTTTGTTGGGGTCCTCTGGCCAGTAAGTGGGTTTAATAATTGCAATTCTTTTGACGGACATCTTTTCTTAATTCACTACCTTTGGTTGTAGTTAGTCTGTATCTCCAATCAACATGTTTATGTAGCGGTAAACCTCTCTCCAGCAGCGCTATTCTTGAAATACTTCGCAATTACACATATACTCAACCTTGCGAAGGTTTGAGACCCCTTCGCAAGTGTTCTACATTCTCACTTTGGCAACGTTACAATTATTTTAAAATGACAGGCTGAATGACAGCATGACTAATATTTTGTATCATGGAATGACAGTTTTCATTATCTAATTGCATTTAGCTCTTCAAAATTTCTTGAGAAATGTTAAACCTGTTAAAATATTCTGGTTCATTTATATTTAAAGCACTACTGATTTCTTCAGGGTGTTGGTACACTGAAACCTGGGAAACTGATGCCAATGTCCATTTTACAGCTTCCTGGCGCAACAAAAATCAGAAACTACTATTATTAACCAAATAAATAAACTATGTTAATTTATATTTAATCTGAGGTCTCATATAAGTCGAGATTGTACCTATTAAAAATTGCCAAAATTCTTTTCAAATTCAAAATATTTGCAAACTGATGTTCACTTCAAATATCAAACGAATAAATATTCTGAAACGAATTATGTCACTGCAGTGGTATAACCATGGTATAACTGCATCTTCAAGGTTTTAAGTAAGTCTAATACGAGTATATTCCAAGACATACATTTAAAAAATATATCCTTTAAATTAAAAACTACACACATATGACACAAGTCAATTCAATAAACGCATAAACAAGTAGTTTGCGATTGATAATACCCACGCGCAGTATTATGAGAGTACTTGAATGTCTTGCGTAAAGACATACTTTACGAGTAATAATAATACTCTCCTCGAGGGCCGAATCACTCCCGCAATACATGTACAAAATGTCCAAAATCCCATTGAAAATCGCCGCAGTCACATCAAAATCGGCGGTAATCGCTAAGAAATCGTCGCAGTCGTTCAGAATTCCCTCGCAGTCTCCCAAAATCTCCCGCAGTCGCTGATCTATCACTAGCAATCATTAAAAATCGCGCGCAGTCAGTTGACATTTCACCAATTGTGTAAAATTAAACAAATTGCATTTACGTTTATCGAAAGTGTCGTTCCATCAATTATTATTAATTTTAAAATGCCAGAATTGTCTCTATTTCACCTGATTTTTTTTAATGCATAATAAAATTGTTTGTAATTTACTCGGTAATTTATTATAGGGGGTCATACACGTTTTAATTAGGGTTTTAAATGTATTTTATTTAAAAAGGAATTAATTTATTGACAGAATACATTTTTTACTTTCCTGTCTATATACAGATAAAGAAAGTATAGGAATCATGATTTTTTTTGACGGATTTTTACGTTTTGGAGTTCCCTAAATCCGTTTTGACTATTTTCGCAATGATGTATGTGTGTGTCTGTATACTCAATAACTCATGAGCGGATAAAGAGAAAAACACTAAATATTAAACTTAAGCTTTGATTAATCCTCTAATAATGAGTGAATTACATTTAGGCATAGTAGGGAAATCTGGGGGGGGGGAGGGTACTTTATAGGGGTCGTTTTTCTACTACGAATATTTATTATTTACGCTTGGAGAATAAAATTCTTTAAATAAAAGTTGTTTGTGTTGCTCTATAATTTTTATCCTATAGGTAAAACATTTTCCTAAAATTGTTCGTATTCAAATTTTTTTACAAAAAGTGCATATTTAGAATTTTTAAGAAAATTATTCAAATAAAAGTTGTGTGTGATGTCTTTCTCTATAATTTTTTGTCCTATACATGATTTGTACCGTATTCGAGATATTTGAGGAAAACTGCAAATTTCGAATATAGTGAAAACTCAAAAACGGTTAAAGAGAAAAACAAAATTTTAAACTTAAGCTTTCATCCATTCTCTAATGAGCTGATTAGTTTTTGGGCATAGTCAGAGCACTTTGTAAAGGGTCGTTTTTCTGCTTAATAGAATTATTTAGTATAGATCTAAGTAGCTGTTACCATCTGAGTTTCTTAGCGAGGTCCAACGTAGAGGACTGTACTAAATTAAGTTCAGTAGATATTAAGGTTTTCTTTGTTTTTCAATTTTCTTGTTGTTACTTAACTCTACATTACTATTATTTTTTATAGGGTTTGTAAAGTATCCAATAAATAAATATGTTATTTACACTTAAAGTTGCTTGCGATATTTTTCTCTATAATTTTTATCCTATACATAATTTTCTAAAAATGGTCCATATTCGAGAAATTTTACAAAAAGTACAAAATTCAAATTTTTAAGAAAATTGTTTAAATAAAAATTGCTGGTGATTCTCTATAATTTTTGTCCTATACATGATTTTCGATATATTTGAGGAAATTGCAAATTTTGAATTTAAAAATTACTCAAAAACGGATAAAGAGAAGAAACACAAAATTTTAAACTTAGGCTTTAGTAAATCCTGCAGTGAGCTGATTAAATTTTGAGCATAGTCGAAGCTCTGGGGGAGGTGGTACTTTTTAGGGTGTCGTTTTTTTTTACTTTAATTAATACTATCTCTGTTATTTACGATTGGTGAAAAAATTTCTTCAAATAAAAGTTGTTTGCGATATCATTCTCTAAAATTTTTGTTTTATACATGATATATCTTTAAAATGGACCGCAATAGAAAAATTTGACAAAAAGGGTAAAATTTAAATTTTTCAGTATTTTCGTTGGCAATAAATACATGAAAAAAATATTTGGAGTAAGATGTGTGTGGAAAATCTTTAAACATTTACAGGGGTGGTACAGTAGGTTGTGTACAAATTAACCGGAAAAAGCTTGTAATAACTAGACAAAAAGTCATGTGTTGGACACATCAGATTTTTATGTAAAAAAGCGGAAACAATTATTTTTGAAAAAATAGTACACAGATTCTATAGGGATAAAAATACACCCTGATTCATCCCTTTAGCTTTAGAATAATAGTTGACAGGTGCAGTATTACTGAGTTTATTTAATTTAGGTAGATATGTGTTTAAATAAATAATTTATAAAGAGTGATTCACAATAATAGTTTGTGCAACAAAAGTGGATATGATGGCCATATGTAATGCGTATAATCCACTCAAGTTGTACAGTATATTTTTTTACGACCCACTAACGAAAATTTACAAAATTTTAAAAATTTATTTAGAGAAAATTAAAATAAAATTACTATTTTAAAAATAGTTGATGACTTATTAATTTATTAAATAAAATAAACTTTAAAAAACAAAAAAATATTTATTTACGATATAAGTATTTGTAAATATACTCGAATATCTTGTGAAATGCTTTTATTTATTGATTCTTCACAAGAATCATTCATTTTTAATTACATTTAATCTCAATAACTAAAAAATATATTGACAATTAGTTTGACAGAATTGTGACTAACTTAACATATTAAAAAATGAAGTTAATTCAATAAAACAAATTTCACGTTGTTTTCACGTCTTATAAAAACTTCAGTTTTTCTTTTTTTTTTTTGTATGGGCCATACTTACATGTCCTATACAAAATTTAGTTCTCCTGATATAACACCCAGCTAATGTTTTTTACTGGAAACCAACTAGAAAGCCATACATTGTAAAAATCATTGAAAAAATAGTGACAATCCATACGGAACTCGCCGCAATCAGTACGGAAATCGCCGCAGTCAAGGTATAAATCAGCGCAGTCACGAAAAATCTATTGAAGTCATGTGGAAATCACCGCAGTAACTAGAAATCTGTAGGAAGTCACATGGAAATCACCGCAGTGATTCGCCCCTCGACTCTCCCTAATTCACCCCCTTACGAGTGAATTTTAACCCCAAAAGCTGAGCTTGTGCGGGGAAAGGGACGGCTATTATTATTATTTGTCGTGGTTCTCCGGGGAGACTTAAAGATGATTGATGGTGCCATTTGACTTACAGGTGAGGAAAACCCCACCCACCATCATCGAAAACGGTAATGCATGGTGATTTTTATTTTAATAATCTGGATGTCATATCAACAAAAATTAAATTTCTGCTAATATGGCATCCATCAAATTCTATAGAGAATCATGCAAATAAATTTACATGGTCTTCCGTAGAATCTAAAACCGTGTCTCGTTTACCAGAAAATTGGCTGACAAATGAATGCCGCGCCGTAGACACCTACACCACCGTAGTCGATAAAAGTGCCCTTGAAATTTGCGAGTGGTCGAGAATAGGGCTGCAGGACTGGGTGGACAGTAGACTGTACCAATGCTTAATTTCTGTTTTGTAGATTTAATGCCTACCACTGTAAGGTGAATATCTACCCATTCTTTAAAATGATTAATTGGTTCCTTAATTATAACGTCACTACTATCTTTGGCTTGATTGTCTGGATGATTATTATGTATATTTTATATCATCTTATCTTGATATAAGACTGGCTTGTCATGTGTCTTAGATATGAGATATGCTGGGTGTTAAGGAAGACTTCTGTCATATTTTTTGTTGAGAAGGCCATTGACATTCCATGTAGCGATTCTTAGATCTTTAAAACTCATAAAATTTACTTTTTGGGTATACATAGCTCTAGCTTCTAATATGTCGAGTCTTTCATTAACTCGTTCAAGAGTTTTCAATCTGTATAAGTTGTAATGTAGTTAAATCTGTAGATGATGAAGCTGATGCGGGTTCTACTGGTACATTTTGGGCTATTTGCATAAAAGAAACACCAGATCTGACTGTGTTTGGATCAATCGCTTTTGATTAGGTAGTAGGTTTCTTGGATTTTGAGACAATATCTCTTCTTTTTTGTAGCTTTTTCGCAAGAGTATAATCCTCTGTAATTTGCAGGATGAATTTCTGAGCAGTTGATACATTTTGCAGGAGTATTCCTAGGCTTTCTACATTCAGCTGTCTTGTGATAAACAGCACACTTAACACAGACATATGGTCTTGTAGAATCTTTATGTGTGTACATTTCTCTGGCATCTTTTACATTGTGGTATGAATTTATTATTTCTTATTGCCTCTATTTCAACCTTCATATGGTGTAGATGCTGAATATTCTAAATTTTGTTAATATCCTCGGTATGATCAAATACTAGCATATATAATGGCAGACTAATATATTCAATTTTATTGACTGTGGTTCTATTAGGTTTCTGAATTACTTCCTTAATCTTGAAATTACTTTCCTTTAATTCTTCAGCGATATCTTTTGCAGAAGTTGACGAATGCAAATTTCTTACCATTACTTTAATGGATCTGGTATCTTTGTTCTCGTATGTGTGCCATTCGAAGTAAGTCCCATTTATTAGAGCTGTTAATTTTCTATATTCTTCATCAGAGCTGACATTAATTTTAATTTGTTGGTTATTCGTCATACTTGTCTTGTATTTAAAATTTCCGGGTTTTAATTTCTCATTGACTACATTATAGTCTTTTACAGTGCCTAAAATGACTGATGGTGGATTAACGGCTGTAAGAGTTCTAATTGTCTCTTTTTTAGGAATTTCTTCAACTTTCTCCAGTGATTCTGTTGCTTTATGCTTTATATTATTTTTGGATTTAGGCAAAAGCCAATCCGTTTCTCTGGCGACTAATTTTTCTTCATCTGAATTGAGTGGACTAAAATTAGTTCCTTTTTATGTGTTTTATTCCTTCTTTAACCGTGATAAAACCTTGTTTTGCTCATGCAATGTTTTATTTTGTTCCCTTAGTAGTTTTATCTCATTCAAAGCTTGCTGCAGTTGGCATTGTAAATCTGAGAGAGTCTTATTTTCTGTATGATTTAAAATCGGTGTTTTACTTACTGTAAACATATTCAAGGCAAAAATCTCGCAAATTCAGATTCGCTTTGTTTACATTTATTTTATTGACGAATAGTTTTTTGATATTGCTTTTATTTTTATCACTTCGAGTTTAGACTTGATATCCGACCTACATCCGAGCGCGGAGTATACAATATAACCTTACTGTTTGGAAGTTAAACAAACTTTGTCCCTACAGTCGAACATATTGTATTTTTTGACATGACACTGAAATGCCTAATTGCCTAATTTACTAATATTTTGTAGGTTTACCGACAAAACCAATAACCAACGATGACAAAGACCACATACTTTTTTGCTTGCGTGTCATCTCAGACCGCACCGACCCAATAATACAAATTTTCTCTACTCTGTGTCGATCTGCTCTCAATGACATGTTGATAGCGAAGGAAGCGGAAGAAGCCACGACTCAAAAATCTAAAGAACAATCCAGACACACTATCCAAACAGATGACGCTATCAGTTTCCTTCAATTAGAAGCGGACAAGAGCGGCGAACTTGGGGAAAATGTATTCGAAATGTCTTTATCACAAGCCTTGGTCGGAGGTAGAGGTGGCCAAACAGACTCCCTAATCAGTTCCAATAAATTGAACAAGATAACACAGTTGACTGGATTTTCGGATCCCGTATATTCAGAAGCTTACGTCCACGTTAATCAATACGATATAGTTCTTGATGTTTTAATAGTGAATCAAACGAACGACACTCTTCAAAATTGCACGCTGGAACTGGCGACGCTGGGCGATTTGAAACTCGTAGAAAAACCTCAACCTGTCGTACTCGCGCCTAAAGATTTTTGTAATATTAAGGCGAACGTTAAGGTAGCTTCCACAGAAAACGGCATTATATTTGGTAATATTGTTTACGACGTCACCGGTGCCGCTTCAGATAGAAATGTAGTGGTTTTAAATGACATTCATATCGATATTATGGATTATATTGTTCCCGCGAGCTGTACAGATACCGAGTTTATGAGGATGTGGGCAGAATTTGAATGGGAAAATAAGGTAAGAATATCTTTAATAAAATAGTATATTATTTAACGAGCGGTAATGCAGGTCATAACTCACGCAGTTGAAGTTTGCAGCACGAGCCGCAGGCGAGTGTTGCAATTCATAAAGTGAGTTATGACCATTACCGCAAGTTGAATACTATACTTTATCTACGACTATAACAATAAATACTAAGACACAAGTATCGAGAAAGAATTATAATTGACTAGATGATAAAAACGTTTGAATCTTTGTAAAAGCTATTACCTTTGTCGACAGATATTTCTCATCAGGAGCGTCATTTATGAAATTATTAAGTTGTTCCTTAAATGTTTTTGCCTTTTTATCTATATGTTTTTCTGATTGACGTTTAAGAAACGCACGTAATTTTGAATAATTATCTATATTAATTCTATTATTTATGTTGAGTGTGCTTCTTAGCAAGGAGTATAAAGTCCATAGAGACGATACTTTATATTTATTGCTAAGTTCATTAAAATATGCCAAAGGTACATTTTCTATAAACGAGTTACACCAATATTGAAAATTTTCGTATACACCGTTATACTTGTGTTTTGATTTTTCTGGTAATAAATTCTGTATTGCATTATTAGCTATCTCTCTTATTTCTGAAGTTGTACATAATAACTAATATTCACTATCTAAATTCATCCTTTTTTAGCACTATTATTAGAAATTGATTTGAAAACGTCAAAATTATCTTGTTAAAATATCAAATGACATTACTCCCCTCAATGTAATAATTGACTGTTCCGCCTACTGAGAGCGTTGACAATTTAATAATTTTAAAATATTTTAATTATTATTCATTCCTTTCCAGTTGTTAAAAAATCTTTCTGACATTTTACGCCAATGAAACATTTATCAACTTTAAAATTTCCAAGAATTTACTGCGCATACTATTTACATACCGAATTATCATAGGAGCCCAGCGTGAGTTATAATAACTCACTATTAAAACTCACGCTATTTGTTTATTATTGATACTATTAATTGCCCAAAAGCAGTTGAATAATTAATATATAAATTAATAGGAGCAGATAAAGGTTTATTATGCAATAAATATTTGAAATAAGGATAAATATTCAATAAATTCGGCTGAAGGTTGATATTAAAGACATACAGATTAAATATCCACTCACAATTATTTAAATAAATCAGGATTTTCTTTAGAATTTATGTTTTATTATATTAGCAACACATATTAACAGTGGGCTTCTCATAGAACAATGAACAATAATTGTCAACTGTCATACGTCATCATTCCGTACCAACTTAAAATAATAATTATCAGTTAGGCATTTTATAGAGGTTCGAACACTCGGCCATCCTCATATAAATGCCATCTCGCATTTAAAATTAACTATCCTATAAAAATGTTTCTTTTTTTTTATATGCCGTGTGGGCCACCGGTAACGTCTGTCTGTAGGGCCAAAATATTTGATTTTTTTAAAATCTGTTTTCACAGCGAGATGTACATCAAAAAAGGCAACAATTTAAAAATTATTTAAATTATACAGGGTTTTCCAAGAAAGTAATGCATATTAAAGTTAGGTTTTTTTAATGGGACATCCTGTATTTTATTTTATATTTGAATTGTCCTCGCCTCTCCCATTATAACAATACAAAATAGTATGAGATTATACAGGGTATAGCCCACGCTAAAACTAGTTTTATGTGTAAAAAGTATTGAAACGATTGAAAACCAATTTTTTTGCTTTAAAAAGTCAACACTCAAATACTTCATTTTCTCATTTTTTTTTAATTGAATTTTATATTGCCATTTAAAAGTATCTTGATTAAAGTTTCCCTATACCTAAATTTTAATGAGAAAAAGACTTTAATTTTAACTGGTTACCGGTTAATACGAAATAGGGGTCTATTCTGTAACAATTCCTTTATATTTAACGGCCTTTAAAAATATTGTCGACCTTTAAAAATATGTTTGTATTCGTTAATTTACTTCTGTCATTATTTAAACAGATTTCTTTAAGATAGTCCTCTAATGTATATTAAAGATCCGTTTAAATAATGACAGAAGTAAAGAAGAAAATATTTTTAAAGGCCGTTAAATATAAAGGAATTGTTACAGAATAGACCCTATAGACAGTTTGTTAATTAGTAATTAGAATTTAACCACATATAATTTGTTATTGGCTGAATAAGGTTTTGACATTTTCTAATAGGACTTTAACATTCAGTTAAAAATAAATACCATACCAATCGCAACTAATCATAGACTCACTCCATTATAATACCAAATTTATTCTAAATTTATTATATATTTAAGTTTACTTTGAAACCCCAATACTGACAGTTCATTATTACTAACGTCATTTGTTCTCCCTCCTCTTCTTGGGATAGCACGGCGCCCACGCCGTGTTGGGATGCGTCGCAGTCTAAACTAAAATGTCCTTTTTCCCGAGGGTATGCTAGGATGGGTGCCGTGGTCAATGTTTTTTTAACTCGACAAAGGCATTTTGACAATCCGGCGTACAGTCAAATAGACTACTGTTTTTAGTTAGTCGATGAAGGGGTTTAGTGATTTGACCAAAGTCTTTGACGAATTTTCAGTAATATGAGTAAAGTCCAAGAAAACTTCTAATTTCCCTTTTGTCTCTTGGTTTCGGCCAATCTCTGACAGCTGCAATTTTCTTCGGGTCAGTTTTGATTCCTTCTGCGGAAACGATGTGTTCTGACTGGAACATTTATTGTTATTAAGCCTTAAGATTGGCATTTCTTTAATCTGTCAAATACTTCACTCTAGTAGATGTTCATCAAAAGTTTTTGACATGATCATTATGTCATCGAGATATACTAGACAAGTTTTCCAGGTTTATCCTTTCAGAACCATTTCCATTAAACGTTCAAAGGTAGCTGGGGCATTACAGAGACCAAACGGGAGAACCTGGAATCTGTATAATCCGCTGCCAGTTGTCTCGATCGTCAGGATGTACTTCCACTTGCCAGTATCCGCTTTTCAAGTCTAGCTGGAAAACCATTTTGCACCTGATAGAGTGTTTAGTGTGTCGTCTATGCGTTATTTGATTTAGTATAATCTACCCAAAAACGAGTAGATCCGTCTTTTTTAGTTACTAGGACCACAGGTGAGCACCAGGGACCAGAAGCTTCTTCAATAATATTTGCATCCATCATGTCCATTTGCTACTTCTTTTTGTTTAGCAAATGGGAGTCTTCTAGGTGCTTGTCGTATTGGCTTTGCATCGCCTGTATAAATTCTATGCTGAACAAGACTGGTACGCCCAAGGGCGGATCCAGGGGGGGGGTCATGACCCCCCCCCCCCTGAGAGGCTTACATCTGATCATATTTTTTAAGTATCTACTTTCTACCAATTATGAACGCTGTAGTTTTACGGCGTCGTGTTGTCCGTCAGCCCGTCCGGTCATGCCATCTCCATCTAATCTCCCATCTCTATTAGTTCACGGCCAATCTTTCGATGTTTGATGACGTCGCAGTTCACAGTAACGCCATCCCACCCCCGCTCTATGTCGAGGTGAACCAATCCGGCATGTTAGAGGTCAGTTCAGCTCTGTGGTTCAGCCATTCCGCTCATAGTCTTCGCGCTTGTTTAACGTGGTATGTAGGAAAAAACCTAGACGATTCAACAAGAGCTATGTTGCTTGAAAAGCATTGGTTGCCACCCCCAAAATATATTTTTCCACACTGCGTTGTTACCAAAAAAGGAAAACAAACAAAGAAATATGCAAAGAAGTCACACCTTGATAAGTTTCACTGGCTTGTTTTATCGCATAAAGATCAGGGCCTTTATTACAAATATTGTGTTTTATTTGGAGAAACACTCGGAGGTGGCATTCGGTCGAAAACATCTCTAAAACGTCTAGTCAAAGAACAATTAAAAGCTTTTGATGATTTGCTTGATGAAAATGGTGTGTTGCTAACTTACCAGCGAAATCAGTACCATCAAATAGCTGTCAAAAGTGGAAAAAACTTTTTAACAACTTTTTACAAACCTGAACTTAATATTATTAACCAAATAAGTAGCCAAAGAATGACACAAGTTAATCAAAATTGGGAATGATTACGATCTATTGTAAAAACGATAATTTTTTGTGGTCATCAAAATATATCTTTAATTGGCCATCGCGACGATGGCAATTTGTTGGATGTGGAAGCAGGTAATAACAGCATGGTAGCTGACGAAGGAAATTTTAGAGCACTCTTGAAATTCCGTATAAAATCTGGTGACAAAGCATTGTAACAAATGAGCTCGATTGATTTAAAGAGGGCTACAGATGCTATAAACGATACAATGAGTGTTCTGAGACAAAAAAGGGAACAAGTAAACACAGTGTTTCAACGACTTTTTGATGAAGCAAAAGAATTGGCCAAACAACTTGACGTTGAAATAAAATGCCCCAGATTAGTGTCAAGACAAGTACATATAGAGCTAATAATCAGTCGAGGAGTATTTTCGCAGGAGCGTCTACATCCCTCTTCTGGACTCCATAATAAATGATCTGCAAGAGCGGTTATCTCCATAGGTACTTGATTTATTCCAACTTGGCGTGTTCATTCCAAAAGCTAATCAGTAGTAATGAGGAAATGGAAACGGTTAAACATCTCGCCGTAACCTATAAACCGCTAATAGACAACACGCTAGTGTCGGTCATAATCAGCGAATATCGGCTGTGGACAGAAAAATGGAAACGGGATCAGGCTATACCGCAGACGTTTTCTGATAATGCATTGCGATGGTGATATGTATCCTAACATAGAAAAGCTTCTGTGTATTCTTGCTACACTACCAGTCAGTGTAGCGACGGCAGAGAGGTCCTTCTCCACACTTAGGAGGCTGAAAACTTGGTTGAGAGCATCAATGGCGGAAGACCATCTAACAGGATTGGCGCTTCTCCACATTCATAAAAATGTTCCTGTTGATGTAGAAGAAGTAATTAATCGTTTCGCGAGAAGGCAGAAGAGAAAAATTGATTTCGTTATTTAATTTAAAGTAAGTACTAAAATGTTAGTCTTACAAGTTGTTACAAGTTATATATCAACTAAATTGATATTAATAGATTTTCTGAGTAAATATTTTCTTTTCATCTTTGGGAGAGGGCCTCTGATAGTGACCCCCCTGACTAAAAGGCTGCATCCGCCCTTGGGTACGCCCCGTAGAAATTGTCAAAGTTGGTACTGATAAATTCTTTGACTTTTCTAAGTTCTTCAGCTGTCAGGTGGTCATAATTTTTTAACCAGCTATTTTACAAAGCTTGCGTCAACTGAGTTACTTGTGGTGGCTTTTCCCGTAGAACGGTCTTCGCACTTGATTATGTTTTCCATCGGTGCTATTGCTTGTCCTTTCTTTAGTTTGAATGGTCTTTTCGATAAATTGGCAACCCTTACTGGAACTAGTTGATCAACGTTAACGTGACATCAGCTACCAGAGTTCCGTCACTCACAGATTCTTCACTTTCCACAATGCCCATGTCTTACCCTGGGTTTAAGGCTTGACACTTACTGCCTTCGATCATGTGTGGACTGTATGACTATGTTCGAAATATGTTACCTGGGGGTGAAGGCCTTATGCTCCACCCTGTAGCCTCTGGAGGATGCTCTCGAAGTTCTGGATGCTGATACTGATTTTATTCAAATGAAACTATCACCTTATATTTGAATTTAATATATTCACGGCTTACTGGTTCCACATTTTACATATTTATACTTGGTTACATAAATTATTAACTGATTACATGTTATAACTTTTTAAATCAAATCGCACAAATGCTTTTACTTAAATTTCGGCTTGCTGCCGGCGTTGACAAGATTTTTTTGATGTGAGTGGTTCGACTGACAAAATGAAAGTGAAAGTTTTTTCTCCGATACAATCCCGCCAGCCAGCGACGGTTTTACCGCCTTTTTCTCATTGGTTGTCCCAGATCGCATGATTGCGTACGTGTTCATATTAACTTGTTTGCGAAGACACAGATGTCTAGCGGTCATTTAAAAGTCAAGCGTGTTTCAAGTTTAGATAATTAGTTTATACAGGGAGTGACTATTCAGTACTTTATTATTTTTGTTTGCTAAAAGTGGAGGTTTATACAGGGAGTGTCTACCTAGTATTTAGCAGATAGGACATGTTGAATGTAATTTCAACAGCCCACATGTAAGCCGTGTGATTTCTCGCTAAGTCCCGCTGAGACGACAGCTTCAGAATTTTGTGGTATTTCTATGTCTTCTTTCACTAGGTCCTTTATCGGTTGAGTCTTTTCTTCCGAATTTAGGGCAATTTCCTCGTTTCCAATTACCAACATCTTGTTTTGAAAGTCGATAATAAACTTATTTGGCATAATGTCCATACCAAGGATACACTGATCCTTAATATCGGCCACCAGAAATACGTGTTCTATCAGGGTATTATCAATCTGTACGGTTGCTAATATCTCGCCTAGAGCAGGAGTAGTGTGCCCTGTAGCTGTTTCCAGAACTTAACTTCTTCGAGTTGGTCGTGGTTTCCGATGCAGGATCCCTGTTCGAATGAAAGACTTGGTTGCACCAGTATCAAGGACGAAGGTGCCTTTCTGGTTATCGATATACCCCTTGACCAATAGATTTTGTTCGTTTTTATTTAAGGTGTAAGTGCGAATTTTGGAGCCCTCTGTTACAGCCAACGCCTGCCCCGTAGTGTCGACCATTATTCGTTTCCCTGATTATTGCTTGGAAACCGGCTAGATGTGGGTGACCGGCTTATCCGGGAGGCATTTCTGCTGTAATTATTTCTTGATGGATTTCGTGACGGGCTTCGGGAGGTTGATCTAGGTGAATTTCTGGCATCAGTCCCCGATTCTCGATTTATAGAACGAGCCCTGCTTCGACGGGTTCTTTGAAGGTGTCCGATTCTTCCTCAATTGAAGCATCTTCTGCTCTCATTTTGACTATTTCGTTGCATACTTTGACAGGATATTTAAGATTTGTGTGAGGGTATGTTAAGGGATAGTATTAGTAGTAGCCTCTTCACTTTCTTGTAATCTAATTTCCCTCAGTTTTGCGCGAGAAGATCTAGATATACTTTATGCTGCTTCGTATTCCTGGGCTGCAATTAGTGTCCCACTCAACGTCTTGTGGTGTTGTAGCCGAAGAGCCTGCTGCATTTCCACGTCCTGTAGTCCATCAATAAATGCGTGTATGCCGATTTGTTCTAAGAAATCTTTAGGTGCCTGTGGATAGGCCAGATGCAGCAATCTTTTAATATCGGCTTGAAATTCTTGTAGACTCTCATTGTGTTTCTGACTACGAACTTTTAGCTGGCTTTGGAATACCTGTTTCAAATGCTGCTGGCCATATCTTGTCTCCAAATCTTGGACGAGAGATTAATAACTGGGTTCTTCTTGGGGAAGTAACTGTAAAACGGTTGCTGCCTGACCTCGCAGTGACACTATCAACGAAGCCGCCATCTCTTTCTCGGTCCAGCCATTCGCTCTAGAAGCAGCTTCAAATTGGAATCGATATGTTTCCCATGTTGTCTGACCGTCAAACGTGGGTGGCTTAAGAGTTGCTTGTATAGTTTTGTGAAACTGTGATTCGAATGTTTCTTGGTTCGGTTATGGATAAAGATGAGGAAGTGTTTTCAGCTTCAATGTTGCTTACCAAAGCTTGGATACGAATTCTTTTTTCTAACTGCCATTTCAGCTCTAATTTGCCTTTATAACTACTCTTGCCTTTTCCTGCTGTTTTAAATTCTCTTGTTGTTGTTGTTGTTGTTGTTGTTGTTGTTGTTTTTGTTGTTCTAAATTGGTTTTTAAATTCGGTTGCTGCTGTTCTGAGTTTTTAGACGCTCTTGTTGTTGCTCCAAATTAGTTTTTAACTTCTCTTATTGTTGCTCCAAATTAGTTTTTAACTTCTTTTGCTGTTGTTCTACATTAGTTTTTAAAAACTCTTGTTGTTGTGCCAAAAGATCTACTCTATTGTTGAGCTGACCAACCTCTTGCTTGAAAGATTTGTAGCAAACCGTTTATAATTTCAATCGCTTCTTTTCTGCGCCTCTCCTCTTTCTCTTCGTCCTTCCTGTGCCTTTCCTTGTCCTCTTCTTCCTTCTTGCGCCTTTCCTTCTCCTCTTCTCGCCTTTTTCTATCTTCCATCTTCAAAAACCATGCTGGTGGGCCTGACGTATCCATGCCTGCTTCGTACTCAGTGGATCTAGTATTTACCATGAACTTCTACTTTGTATCCCACCGCTGCCACCAATGTTACACAGGTTTTTGGTATCTCAATTTATTTCAACTCAACTTTTACAACAACTATTCAATTGATAAAATTAATGTATAACGTCTATCATAAAACTGAAAACTGACGTCAGGATCATCCAGCTTTCTTGATTCTTCTCGAACCTTCTTGAACTGTCGTCTAAAATATTCTTGACGGGTAATGACATTTCTGGACTATTCTATCTTCTTTTGCTTGCACTTTTACTTATGACGACCGCAGCACACTGTAGGGCAAATAGTAACATTCCACTTGTTTTGTACGTTTCCTATAATAGCCGCAGGCTACTGCAGGGTGCTGCGTAACAATACATTCAGTGCGCACTGGCTGTGCCAGTGAAAAACGCTATAAAAATATATTTAAAATCAAAAATTTGAAACAGGATTTAAATCACAAAAAATATTAAATTTGCCTTTGTGTGACAGCTCTGATCACAATTTAAAATACTAATTGAATCATTCATTTTTATAAATGAATGCATCACAAAAAAATTGAATCAGTTAATTGCAAATTAACATGAGTCTATCAATGTGCTGACAAATGCACGAATTACTATGTAGGCCAATAAATTAAAAAAAGACCTAAATTAATATGTTTCATTAATTTTTTAAGGTCACTGTAAATACACCTCTCACAGACCTCGCCGATTACCTTGACCATCTCTTGAAAAGTACAAACATGAAATGTCTGACTTCCGAAAAAGCCCTTAGCGGTCAATGCGGATTTATGGCCGCCAATATGTATGCCAAATCTATTTTCGGAGAAGACGCGCTTGCAAATTTGAGCATAGAAAAGCCTTTCAACAAACCAGATGCACCAGTCGCAGGGCACATCAGGATTAGAGCTAAAAGTCAAGTAAGTCTTACCTTGTTGTAATATACCAGTTAATTTTTGTAATAATTCATAGTAAAAATGGTAATTTTTTATTACAGCTTTTTAAATTTGAATTGTGTTTGAACATTGTTCGATATTGGTTTTTGGTATATGTATAATTAAATCGTTTGCTGTTCGGTAATATTCTCGATATAAATTTTGGGCTGAATTAACTGGTTTTTATTTCAAAAAACTTAAAACTATTAACATTTGTACAAGTGAATAACAAAATAGTATAATGTGACGCTATTAATGCAACGACATCGGTATTATTGTCTCGTGTTTTTTGATCCCTCTTTTTGGAACAATACCCTTGACTCCCTCACTCCTATTGTCACTATTACATCACGCTCACAAGGGCGGTCTTTGGCCATTCTGACTGTCAAGTAAAATGGACCACCCTGTAGTCTCTCAGCGAAATGATGCCTAAACAAACATCTTTCCCTTGTTCATGTTGGAGTAGATATGTCCAGTGGAAATAAGGCTCATCAGTACTTGTGTTCAAAAGATTTATTAATCAAAATTCACAAATATTCTTATGTGACTTAATATAAAAGTTGCGACTGATATTGACTTTGTGCTAACTTTATTTAATAAATTAGACTGCTATCTTGTTAATTAAAATTAAACCCATCAAGAAACAATTTTTCTGACGTGCAATTGTTCATGTAGGATTTTATGAATGGCCGCAGATCCTATGCCTAGAAGGTTGTCTCTATAATTCGGTGAGGCAGTGATTGCCTTCTGAGATCAATCTTCTGATAGCAGCCAAGTTTTCTGGAGTTACCTCTGTGCATGGTCTCTTCAAAAGTTTTAATTGTAATAACAAAATCTTCCAAAATCAAGACTCTCCGAAAAATCGGGTCTCTTTAATGCTGATCTGTCTCTTAGATTAGATCTAGAAGATGTTGGCATATCCTCTTCTTTGACAACATTTTCTTCTAGATCTGCTTCATATCCTAAATTCTCTTGATTTTCTTTATATTCTTTTTTCTTGGTATTTTCCTTTTGAAAATCTTTTAATCACAATTTTATGTATAACAGGGACAGATGATGGAAAGGCTTTTGGTAGGTAGAGATGTGGTAAACGTCAAACCTTGTCAGACAACTTCGAGAATTTCGATGTGATGTTTCTTCGGCATTATTTTATCATAGAATAAAAATAATACCAAACATTTTAAATTATTACCGGCGGAATTGGGCAAACATATCTATTTGTTGACTACAAATAATTATATAAACAAGTAATAAATATCCCAAATCATAATTCTACAAAATTTCAACAGCTATTCACAATTTATTAAACTATTTATGCAAAAATTGTTATTAGTATTTTGTCTTTCTTAAATTCTCAGCTTTTTCAATTTTTCTTTGGTTTGTTTTCACTTTGGGGATATGAGTACTGTTATTCCTGGTTGTATAATTGTACAAAAAGTTGTACAATCAGTTATGCGGTTGTACTGTTGTACGCACTTTTGAAAAAAGAGAACTGTTGTACAATTTGAAGTTGCTAAATATTTATGTAAAATCAGGTATATAAAAGGTTTTCTTCGCTTAAATAGTCCACGATTCGTAAAATAGCATGCATTAAAATTAATAATAAAAAATAAAAGTTTAAATTTGACGCCATTCGCGACTAATCAGTACACCGTTTTACATCGAAAATATATTTTAAATTAAAAAAAAAGAGAATTTTAAGCATCGGAAAGTAGTAGGCCATAGTCTGTAAACAAAAAAGAATAAGATTAATTAGTGGTTGTCACATACTTTGATTTTCTTTTACTATACGGAGAATGGTCGCACTGCGCAGCTTTCTGAGTGCCTTTTAAAAGGAGATAGAAAACTCCGCCAATTTGAACCCTTATTACGTTTTGCCTACATCTTGGCGCAATATTTTTAATAGGTGCGTTTTAATCATCCGCTTCTGCTTCGGAATGGTCGGTTTTCTTGTTTTAATCTGACAGGTTAAAACGACTGAACCGACAATTCCGGAAGCAGAAGCAGATGATAGGGACCGTGCGTGAAATATAGAGGCAGCACTACTGCCGAAGTTAGCCCTCTCTAGTGTTTAATTTTAGAATTAAATGGGGTAAACATTGCAAGTAAATAATAAAGAATATTTTTTAAAATATTAAATATAGTTAAATATAGATACCGGCCCGTACCAAACAATCGGGTACATGGTCAAAATGATATAAAATGTAAAATATTATTAAAATCTGGACATGTATATACATTTTAAGCAAAAAGATTTATATGGCTAATTGACAATAAATTGTAAAGTTGTACCTTAAACAAGTGTATCCAATGTCAAAATATCGGTATTTAGTAACACTGAATTTAAAAGTATTACAATAACATTTAAAAAATGTAAATTAATAAAAAAGATTGGGAAAAATTTATGCTAGTCCAAATGTCATTCATCCACTGACGTTTATGAGACGCCCAATGATATACATATTATAGATTGCTCACCCATCTATAAAAAAATTACGAAAAGCGGGTTGCAATGTGCCTTTCCTAGTGCTCACTAAAATAGAGCCGTTCTAGCCCAAATGTGTTTTAATATAAAATTTCAGTATTTTAATCTTTAGAAAAAGAAAATAATTAAAGTTTTACTTCAAGACACGTTATTATGTATTTGGAAAGTTGAGTTTCCATGTTGTTAAATAATATTAAGAGATCTAAACAATTTTAAAACAGATGGATATAAATAATTTTAGACTACTCTCATTTCAGAAATTACACTACATAAAATACATAATTGCAATATGTAATACAATTTTGAAAAGGAAATGTAAACAACTTTGATATGAGATATAAACAACTTTGGTAAGAGTTGTAATTGGACACATCTATTATTCTGAATAATGTTTAATGGTAATGTCACTAAAAAAATTTACAAAAATCACTGGATTTTTAATATTTTAAAGTTTGTTGCAGTCTCTTTTGATAGTACTTGTAATGTACGTATTATTTATGATTTGTTTATTTTAGTAATAAATGAGAAATAGTTAATAAATTGTAAAGAGGGCTATGATATTTTTGTCAAATTGGACATACTTATTTCATAGTAACATTCTACATTAGTTTTAATCAACAGAATAATTATCTGTAAAATTATATTTATATAAAATGTTCATTTAAATATATAAAAATCTTAATGATAATAAAACACTAAAGGCTCTAATTTCTAAACCGGTTCTGTAAATGCTCAAGTACTCAAAATTGATACAAAGCTAGATAAAAAAAAAACTTTGCCCAGTGAAATACGCTTTTCGTCATCTGATTTACATATGGATAAGCAATCTATGTAATGTAATTATGTATATCATTGGGCGTGAGACACTTAATTCTGCTCTGTGAAAATTTATAAAATTTCTTTACTATTGAATGAAATCCAGGTTTCCAAAGTAATGTGTTCGTACATCCACGGATGCAACAAGTTTTTTCGATAATGATATTACGAAAATAATTCGACTTTATTTAATTAATAATTATTAAACAATAAATGCCATATAAAATATTAATAAATACCCCCCATAAAGTTCAAATTTTTTTCACCAGTTAGCGTTAAAGTCTTGACGCACGGTCCCTATTAATGGTGCGTTTGATTTGATCATCGGAGATCTCCGAGCGCATCAAAAGTGTTTGAATTGACACTCCGAGAGATCCCTAAAGTGTTTGTTTCGCTTTGGAGCGAGAACATAGAGCGAGCTCGATGTTCTCAGAGCAGAAAGATCGAGAAGAGGGAGAAATTTGTCTTTGTCTCTACCTATCTCTTTTTAATTAACTTACAAATTTAAATCTCAAAATTAAAGACAAGAAGTCAACAAATTACTTAGCCGCTTTTGTCTTATAGCTAAAATTATTCATCATAAAAAAACACAAAATGTGTGTTTGGAAAATACATTTTTTCTGTCCAGATCTAATCACTAGTAATCACAGTTATGGAGTATGAGAGCGAAGCGGGCATTTGTGGTAAATGCTGCACATCAGGGCCATTACCTCTTATTATTAAAAGTTTTTCCATTTTCTTTACTTTTTGCTCACTATTTTAACATACAAACCAGAAACAAGAATCACAGAAAAGCGAGGTTATGTTTTTTACTCTTTTTTATTTGATTTGATTCAATGCTCTATTGTGACGTCATCACTTCTCGGTCTCCTCGACGCTCGCTCGATCGAGTTTCAAATCAAACGCCCCTTAAAACGCACCTGATATTTTGCTTGCTGCTGTCAGTGTCAGTGAATATTATTTTTGGAGTCACAGTTTATTGCTAAAGAATCAGTTAGCTCACTCGGACCAGTTGAAAGTTCCAAAATAACATCCACTCCAGGGATACAAATTCAGGATACGCAGAAGACTGCTGTTTTATTATAGGCGGTTGTCATATATTGTATTATCCGAGTTGCGCAGTGTATAAACTGGAACATTGAGATCAAAAGTGCCGACGCAGAGTGAGCGATCTGATTCTTTAGCTATAAACTGTGTCATAGGAATCAAAATAGCCGCGCCCTATGTTGGGCGTGTCTTCCCCGTATAGTAATCAAAGTATGTGGTGGTTGTACAATTGAACGTAAAAGTACAATTTTGACACTGAAAGTTGTACAATTCAAAAATCCCTAGGAACAACACTGGATATGAGGATACATTTTTCATAATTTTGCAAGGGAACTAGGGATTAATAATTTTCATATTTCCAAAATTTGCATTTCAGTTTTTCGGATGTCAACCAATTTTTCTCATTTCACTTTCTTTCAGTTGTAAATCTACAGAGCAGACAACTGTATTTTCATTGTCAACGATGATAATCGATTTTGACTCATGGATTTCCCTAAATGTGGGAATTTTTGCATCATCTTTTTGTTAGTCTAATCGCTGGCCACGGGCCCTTTTTATATTAATATTAAAACGCCTTGACGATCGAAAGGTTAGGGCGTTGGCCCTATGGGTTCGGTTCTATCGGGCAGCGCAAGATTTTTTTTATCGCTTGTTCTATAATGTATTTTCTGAATTACTTGCCATATAATGTTAAATATAATTTATTGATGTTATCTTTATTTATTTTTTTTGTTTTAGGGAATGGCTTTGAGTTTAGGTGATAAAATAAATATGACACAAAAAGGAACTCAGAGTAAAGTAGCTGCTGCATGAAGTGCACGAGTTAGAGATATTTTTAAAGTCTTTTAGGTTAGGTATATATAGTTTATAATATTTTTATCAATTACCAAGCCTTAGTATCCTGTATTTTTATTTAGTACCAGATTATCGGTTATATTAAATTTAATTAAAACACTATAATTTCCTTTTATTTTTTTATTAACAAATAAACGTATATTTTTTATATTTACTATTCAACAAAAAAAAAAGGTTTATTTTTACTATCAGTGCACACCTATAGGGGTCATCTTTGGATAAAGCATATTATCCAGACATTGCTTCCTAATTTCTGGAAGAGGAGCTCCGTTGCCTGGCCTTCCCCAGAAGCCAGTCCATGTCGTAAAATGGGTTCTGCTGTTTTCTTCTTCTCTAGCTTTCATCTCCTTTATAAAAAGAAATACAAAGCTATAGTGTGAAATTTGATATATTTTTTGTGGGAGTAGAAAAAGTATAGTTCACAACTCGAACTGTAAATGCAAATACTATTTACAGCTTTTGCTATATGATACAGTTACGGAATTCTAAATGCATAACCTCTATTTTACAATGAATTGGACAAAGTATAATAGGGACTATGCATGAAACAAACAAAACAGGCTCATCTCTAATATATTTAGATGGTACGCATTTAAATTTCCATAAGTCTATATTAAATAATTGCGAAGTAGACATAATATACCTGAGGATAGATCATTTGTAATTATTTTTGATATACAAAATCATATATTAGGGGAAAGTGAATAGATGGGAAACTCAATGGTAAAAGTGGAGTGGTACTAAATTAAATACGGCCGCCAGGGGCGGAATTTTTGAAGTTTAACTTTCTGCTAGCTGGGAAAAATGTAATGAAAATCAAACAAAAAAAAAATAAATTGGTTTATTTTGACTAGTTTCAAATCATAAAACACTGTTTTATGATGTGAAATTAGTCAAATATTTTGCCAATTTATATTTTTAATTGATTTTACTTAATTATATTTTTACATTAATTTTAAACTTGAAATAAAATGCAATTTATTTTATTTTTTTTTAATTACAGTAAATTAACGCCAAAATAATAATTTATTTAAACATGGAAATGCTCTGACATAATATGCATATACACCATTTAAATAAATAAATATTTATAAAACAAACCTATCAAAAATGTTTTCTGTAACAAAATCAGCACGTATACTGATCAAGACCTTTATAAGAGTTTTGCGACTGTGGCAAAAAAATTGAACTTGAAGCGTCATCCTTTTGGAGTCTTACTATCAAGGCGAATTTGAGTGTGGATAAAATTTACCATGTTTATCGAGTCCACTAGTTAGGTTGAGGAGCATTTCTTCATCTGATAATTTTTTTTATTAATTTACTTGTACAACACTTGTAGTTTATCAAATTCTTATTCATCCTCTGGGCACTTTGATACATGAATTTAGTTTTGGACCCTTGAAGATTTTGAGGTAATTTTTCTTGTTTGATTTCAATGGCATTGAATCAAATTTTGATATTGATAGCTGAGGCTCACAGATTTTATCGATGTACCGAGTAATTTGGAAGACCATTTTCTTTGCAATAACAATGATCATTTAAAAACTGAAAACAAAAAGAAATTTAAATTAAAAAAATATTTTAACCCTGAATCAAAAGCAAGTTTGTAAATATTACTTACCATTGGTGCTAAACAGTGCAAGATGAATTTTTCTTAAATTTTTTGGTTATCCTTAATAGGTCTTTTCCTTTGCATCGAAAGTGTAGCGCTGAGCTACACTACTTCTGAAAATATCGTTCCATCCATACAATTTAATTTTTATAAATGGAACGATATTTTCAGAAGTGGTGTAGCTCAGTGCTACACTTTCGATGCAATGGAAAAGACCTAATATGACGATCGCTTATTTAATATGAGGTATAAATTGCATCACTACCAATATCTGTGAGTGCTTTATTGCACATTCCTAAAACCCATCTTCCCATCTTTTGAAAACATGCCTAAAATTAAAAGGTATTGAAAAATATATTTAGATGAATCAAAATCCAATGCACCTTCAACTGCAACGGCCATTTAAATTTTTTGAAGTTTTGGAGTGGTACTAAATTACCTTCCTCATGTTTTTCCATTTGAGTTACCAGCCCCTGTACAAAATTGGGATCAGTAGGTGTGTCTTTTGCACTCACTAAAATGGCGGAGAAGCAGGTGTAGATTTACACATTTTACTTCTACTATTTCTGGTTGAGTAAATCTGATTTGAATTCGAAAAAAAAAAAAAAAATAATAATTGCCTTTACAGAAAGATGTTTACTGTTAAGTTTTTTTATTAAAATAAAAGTTATAAGAGTATGTTTGAACGAAACTCGTATTAATTTAGGTCTAACAATAAATATTGTTATCTCATATCCGGTATTTTGAGTTCTTCGTCGATAAACATAATTTAATCTTGCATTAAAAGAGAAATTTCAACTATAAGATATATTTAGTGTAATAAGTTCACTTAAAATTATAATTGCAAATATGTACAAAGTTTTCAGAGTTTGTTTTTACAAAAAATAGTAATTTACAATTTTTAAATCATCGTATTTCATTCTCTACTGAAAGATGCGGGTGTATATCAGACTAAAATTTAATTTGGTTCCTTATAAAGTGAAAACTATAGGTGAGTCAAATTAGGATTTCTCGCGCGCTGTCGATCAGCTGATCTCGCTCGAAGGAGGTAACCTACATAACCTTAATCTTTGCTAAAGTGGTGTTTCATATTGTGTTTTGTGATTATTCAGTGTTTGGAAATTTTGTTCTTTAATTTTTGTTTGTTTGTTAGAAATAAAGGGTGTCCTTATAGGAGGTGTAATTTTAAATTTCGCGCCATTTTCGTTCTGTCAAACTCATAGCGGTGTGTATATGATATTTAATATTTACAAGCATTGCCATTTTGATAATGGAACGCTACACGCACAGTTGAACAACGCCTATTAATTGTGAAAACTTATTGAGAATGCAGCCGGAAATAGGGCAACAGTGAATGGTGAACGGTATCATGAGATGATAAGAAACTTTTTATAGCATGTGGTTTAGTGCGATCCAAATTTCTTGCTCGTGTTATCTCACGAAACGGCGACATCCATTGGCCACCGAGATCGTGCGACTTAACGCCACACAAATAAGTGGAATTCGTGTTTATTTCCAGTGGTGGCTTGTGAGCTGTGAATGTGGGGGGGGTGGCAATTGACTTAAGGCTGGGGTTATCATAGCTAAGGTGCAAAAATCCAGTCTGAATGTTTCATTTTATCGATCGCAATTTAATTATTTCGCTATTTTAACGTTAAGATGGCATATGAGTACTCCCAATGAAAATTACCTAAATTTAATAATATTTTATGGTGAATGCGTGAAAGACTTGTGATAACTTTTGCTGTAAGATACTTAGACAAACCCCGTATATTTATAGATTTTTAATCAATGATTGTTTTACGATAATTTTTCGTACCATTGGTGATTTAATCATGTTTCCATAGTTTTTACTGTAATAAACCTTTTTTTTTTTTTGACAGATAAGTCAGACTCAGACTATTTAGTATATATTATAATTTTACAATTATATAAGAATAGCGAGTGCATTAGAAAATATTGCAAGCACAAATACGCGTAAACAACCTAGTGGACATAAAGCATTCTCTTTAAAAGAAAAAATATCGTACTTGTGTTTAATAATATTTTAAAAGACTTTGTTTCACTTTCTGTGGATGAAAAAGCCCTAAATGTGGGACATATACTGGAGTATCTAAACGGACAGTGTATAACAATACTAAAGAAGATTTATTATTATTATTTATTATTGCAGAAGTCTCGCATCCGAAAAATTCCCCAGGAAGAAACGAGACCTTTATTGAAACTTGGGTAAAAAATGTAATAAGGGCAAATGGTAATTTTTTTTTCTTTCGAAATGAAATTCCTACACTCTTCCAAATATTTCATATTTTTATCTGCAAAAATATTACATGAATAAAATTTACGTTACAAAAAACGAGACAGAAACAGCTTTTTAACAGGAAAGACAAAATAATTGCGTGGAGACATGATTATTTAAGGAAATTAGCGGACGCATGCAATCAGCATTAACAGATATTTTATTTAGATGAAATATGGGTTACTGCTGGACATGCAGTAACAAAAATTTAGCAAGACTAGTGTTCGCCCAGTGGAAGGAATTCGACCATAATCATTATTGAAAATTTGAGAAAAATATGCATTTGTATGTTAATAACATTTTTTTGGGTTGGGTGGTTTTAAATTGTTTCATTTGTTTTTCACGATCCTCTATCCGTCCATGTAATAGTGTCCATGTTGGTTCGAAATTAAAGGGTGCTCATGTTCGTTATAGGCTTATTTTATTAGACAATCATAATTCACAATTGTGGATCAATGGATTTTAGATATCGAAGGTTTGGAAAACACTACCTCTTTTAATTTTTTTTTTAAAGAAGTTACTACCCACAACAAGATGAAAAAAAAGAAGATATTTCAAAATGGCTTCATTCTAAAAAATATCAGTCCTAAATCCTTAAAGGCAGAATTAAACGTAATAGCAAGGCAACATAAAGACAAATTCAAAAAATATATTATAGACGAGATGGCCCGAGAAAAAGGAATTGAAATTCTCAGATTGCCATGCAGAGTTAAATCCCATTGAACTGATCTGGTCATAATTAAAAGGATATGTTTCTCGAAACTATACAACATTTAAATTACCTGATGTTTAAAATTTGTTTTTGAAGGCAGTTTCAGATGTAAATGGAGAACATTGGAGAAAATGCATTGACCATATTAAAAAGGAGGAAAATTCAGTTTGGAAAGTGGATATAGCAAAGGGAAAGTTAATAATAAACCTCAAAAAAGACAATGATACCAGTAGTTATAGCCCAGTATAGCTATCACAATGTTATAGTGACGACAGTGACTTTTAAAGACAGATCTTGAACTTCTTATTTTTTTTTAATCTTTGATTTTAGGTACTGAAGTGTTACTTCCAAGAGATTAAAAAAGTTTAGGTAATCCCATTAACAACATTTTAATGCTCTTTGTTATTTATTGGTTACATTTAATTCATTCAATAAAATTCAATAAAATATGACGTTATATCTCCACTTTTACTGCAGTCCTCTTATATTCAGACTATATAGTGTCCCCCCGTCTCTGGATAGCCTGTATATTCTAAGTAAATTGACCAACTTCTGCAATAAATTCCAAAGTGTAAAAGGCCTCGTTCAGACACAGCGGAATCCTCGCAGTTGCAACCTTTCGATTTCAGACGCGGCTAAACAGAGTACGAGGTAACTAGTCCAACATGAAGTTGGCTCCATTTACTGTGTCATGTGTCACTTTTGTTTGGTTTAAAAAGTGAAG